GACGGGATGGAACGGGCGGCTGCGGGAATCGTTATCAGGAAGAAATGTTTGTCCCCAGGCCATGGGGTTGCGGAGCTGACCGGCCAGAGGTCAGAGGTCAGAGCCCGTGAGGGGAAATGCATTCTCTTCCCACCCCCTAGTCCCCCCGCCCCCAATCCCATCAAAGGGAGCGGGGGGAGGGGCTGAGCGACCCCCACCCCACCCCCACCCCCGGGAGGAAGCTGTTTGCTCAAGGCACACAGAGCCCACCAGAGGGATGAAGGCGCCACAGGAGCCCTGGGCCCACAGGCTCCCACCCACCCCACCCACCCCTCACCCCACCCCACCGCTCGGACCCTCAGGCCGGGCCCGCGGTGAGGAGAGAGCTGCCCCGGGTCCCCTGTGGCCGCCATGTCTGAGGTCAGAGGGGAAATTGTTATAAAAATCACTGAGATGGACCGTGTGGACATTCAAAAGTGATCCAGAGCGCTGACCCATGAACCTGGAGGTCAGGGTTCAATTCCCAGACAGGGCGCATGCTTGGGGTCATGAGCTCGATCCCCAGTAGGGGGCGTGCAGGAGGCAGCTGACCAATGATTCTCTCTCGTCATTGAGGTCTCTCTCTCCCTCTCCCTTCCTCTCTGACATCATCTGAGTCCATCCCCAGGCCCTGGAACAGACACTACGTCCGAGTTAGTTCTGAGTGGGGTCCACAAGCCCACCGGTGATTTGGGGTGCCCCCCCCCCCCGTTACTCTCTGTCCACGAGGCTCAGTGGGATGTGGCCGGGCAGCGGGGACTTGCCGGCCGGGCTGGGCTGTGGGGTGAAGGCGGTGGGTCCCGGGAAGCCAGGGTGTTGGTGGGCTGGGTGGGGGCAGGCCGGGCAGGGTGAGGCCAGGTGTGGGGGGTGGAGAGCGCCCCACGTGGCGTGATGAGGGAGGACAGAGTGGAGGCAGCTGGCGCTGCACCGGAAGCAGCCGGGGAGGAGGCAGAGGGAGGCCGGGAGCTGCTCGGAGACCTTCCCCCAGTGACCGGCCTGGAGCGAGCTCCCGAGGTGAGGAGCCAGGCGCGGGGCGGGTGGGGACGGATCGGGGAGGGGAGAGGAGCCAGGTCGGCGAGGTTGGGGTGTCTGGGTGCGAAGGGCCGCTCTCTTCCCAAGGCCCCTCCCCTGGGCCCTCCTTGGGGCCTCGCGGTGTCACTTGGGCGCTGGCGGGGATGGAGAGGGCACAGGCTCTGCTCTGGGGGGACTCGGGCCTGAGCAGGAGGCGGGGGAAGCTGTGTCCACAGGCCAGGCCACAGGGAGACGCTGGGGAGGCGGGGAGGGGGGCCCTGCTCCTCCCTTCTCTTCCTGAGTCCGGGCAGAGGGGACCCCACCTGGGAGAGGACAGGCCGGGCCCGCGGTGAGGAGAGAGCTGCCCACGGAGAGGGGGCCGGGAGGGCCTCAGGCCCAGGGAAAGGGCCGGTCCGAGGGGAGGGAAACACCGCGGGTTGGCGCTGACTCCGCCCGCACGGCAGAGCTGCTCCTTCCAAGAGGGTGTAACGACCTCCTCCGGAGTCAGCCAGGCGCCTGGCTCCCCAGCACCTCGTCTCTCAGAGGAGGGAGCAGCCTGGGGCCTGGGGTGGGCGCAGCATTGGGCGGCAGGCAGGGCGGGGGGCCTGGGGCACTGAGGGAGGGTGAGCCCCGCTCCTCCCAGCACCGGAAATGTGTCTGCGGCTCCCAGTCTGGCTGGGAGGCTCCTGCCCGCTCAGAGGTTCCCTCGGCTCCTGAACACCGGCCTCCGGTCACTGCCAGAATCAGCTCCAAACGGGCACAAATGCACCTGAAAATAATAACAACAAGCACCCTGCAAAGGCAAGTGGCTACATCGCGTGTAGGACAGACTCTCTCTCTCTCTCTCTCTCTCTCTCTCTTTCTCTTTTCTCTCTCGCTCTCGCTCTCTCGCTCTCTCGCTCTCTCTCTCTTTTCTCTCTCTCTCTTTCTCTTTTCTCTCTCTCTCCCTCTCTCTCTCTCTTGCTCTCTCTCTCGCTCTCTCTCACTCTCACTCTCACTCTCACTCTCACTCTCTCTCACACACATTCACACATACATACACACACACACACACACACACACACACACACACACAGGCTCACACCAAAGTCCCTCATGTCCAATGATCCGGAGAAGGTGGTGCGGCCTGGTGGGCATATCTCTGGCAGACCTCCCGAAATGGAAGGCACCCAAAGGTCATGGCCGTCGGGGCTCGCTGGAGGGTGGGGGAGCAGGGCCCTGTTTGGAGGGGCATCTCTGAGCTCAGGAGCTTCCGGAAACGCAGGGTTCACACAGGCTTTGAGGAGGCAGCTGGGTCTGCCCCCATCTCCCCGCTGGAATGGTCCGGTCTTACCCTGGTCCACGGGCTTCTACTGCCCTCCAGTGGCAGCCCATTGAAATGGCCCGTTGGTGCTGCCTTGCAGGCCTGGGCCGCCCAAGTTCCCTAAGGGCCTTGTCCCCGCCGCCTCGGAATCCCCCCTAACTCACTCCATAGAGGCCTGACCTGCTGATACTCCAAATCCCTGGGAGAGGGGTGGGACGCCGGCACACTGACATAAAGCAGAGCCCTCAGAACCAAAGGGAACCTTCAGGGGCTGGCCAGAAGCAGTTTCCAAACTGCCCACTAGGCGGCAGCGCTGCTCTCCCTGAGGCTCCAGGGCAGGTCAGACAGGAATGCACAGGCTGTGCGGCCACTGGCTGCCGGCTGGGCTCTGCCGGGTGACTCACGGGCAGCCGAGGAGGGAGCGAGGAGGGAGCGTGACAGGTGACGCCGGCAGCCTGGAGGGAGCGTGACAGGTGACGCCGGCAGCCTGGAGGGAGTGCCGGCACGGGCGGCTGTGTGCCTGTGTGCCGGCAGAGCGGCCAGTGAAGGCGGTACTCGCCCACAGGACGGAGCTGCTGAGCCTGGTCCAGGCATCCCCTCGGCTCCCAGAGGAGAAAGGCAGGTGCCCTGGTTGGTTTGTCTCAGCGGTTAGACCGGCGGCCTGTGGACAGAAGGGTCTCCTTTGGGTGCCCCTCTGGACCCGTCGTCCTGCTCTGTCAGCTGCTCCATATGCCTGCGGCTGTCACACCCAGCGCTGGGTTCCGGCTCGCACCGTGAGTCTAGAATAGACCGAGGCCTGGTAACTATCGTCACTGCCGCCTGCGGACACCAAGGCCCTGGCCACAGGAGCACAGGCCCGCCCGCCGTGCACACGGAGTCCCTGCTGGACGCCCTGGGCCTTCAGACGGGCTGCCACCTCCGGTCCGGAGAGACGGCGGGCCGAGGGCAGTGCTGGGTGGGCACGGCCCGATGTTTGATCCGGACGGGAACGGTCACATGACCAAACACTCCAAGGATCTGGCAAACCCAGCGAACCCCAAATGCCATGTGCCGGGGGCGCCCTGCGGAGCCCAAAGTCCAGGGCGGGAGTGCGCCTGACCCTTTGCTCCTTTACGGACACGCACCCGCCCTGTGCGCCGCCGCCCGGCCCCTGCCCTTCGGAGCTGCCGTGGGACCTGTCTCCTGTCCTCCCGGCAGGACGGACACACCTCCCAGCCAGGCCACATGCCCCGAGCTCCCCGTTAAATGGAGTTAATCATAAGCCAGGGTGTGCTGTGGCCCGGGTTGGGTGACAGCTCACCGGGGAGCCTTCGGGGCTGCATGAGAGAAGTGGACACGCCCCGTGCGTGACTCACGGGGGAACATCCCGCTGAGGTGGCCGCCGGTCCAGAGAGCCGGCCGGGCAGAGCGTCCCGCGGAGGTCAAGGGTGAACGTTAAAACCTGCCCCTCTTGGCAAGGACTGGAGTTGGAAGGCAGGACCGGCTTTGTTTATAAGGTAGTTTGTTAAAACGAAACAGAAACAGACTCTTGGACACAGAACACATGGAAGGTTGCTAGAGGGGGCGGGGAGAGGAAGGGGACAGGGGGAGGTGACGGGAGAGGGCGGCAGGGGAACACCGATGTTCCTGTCTCTTCCTCTTCCTGCCTCTCTTCAATTAATAAAAATATGCTTAAATATATATCTACTGGAGGCCTGGTGTACAAAATTCATGCACACGGTGAGGGGGGAGGGTCCCTCAGCCCAGCCTGCATCCTCTCCAATCTGGGACCCCTCAAGGGATGTCCAACTGCTGGTTTAAGCCCGATCCTGCAGGATGTCCGACTGCCCTCTCATAATCCAGGACCACTGGCTCCTAACCGCTCCCCTGCCTGCCTGCCTGCCTGCCTGATTACCCTAACAACTCTGCCTGCCTGCCTGATTACCCTAACAACTCTGCCTGCCTGCCTGATCACCCTTAAGGACTCTCCCCTGCTGGCCTGATCACCCCTAACCATCTCTGCCTCCGCCCCCGCCACCATGGCTTTGTCTGGAAGACGTCTGATCTAATTAGCATAGTACCCTTTTATTAGTGTAGATATTGATATTGAGCCTCCTTTAGGCTGCAGGGTAAAGATCCTCTCGTTTATGTTTGCACTTTCTAATCTCTTCCCCACCTTGGAACCCCCACATGCGTATCAGCTCTTCTGCCTCCCGCTGGGTCTGTCATGGCAGGACCCAGGGGCCAGGGGCCAGTCCTTCGCCCCTGGGTCTCCTTCTGCCTCCAGCGTGGGGTCTGGAAAGGCGAGTCCGGGTTCCGCTGGCGTGGAGGTCTTCCTTCATGAGGGGAATTAAAGCACCTGGCCGCTCCCGGCCAGAACATCGTGGCAGGTGCTGGCGGCGCTGAGCCCCTCGGGGAAGCGGGACACAAGCCTTTATTACCGCAGACGGCCCTCCCCCTCGCCATCGCCCGGCTGCTCTGTCCACCACGCGGACCGGAGAGCTTACCCCTCCATCGCCCGCCCTAGTGGGAAGGGGGCAACACGGGTGAGGAACGTGGCGTCCGGAGAGACCAGAGCCAGGCTCGGTGTCAGCCGGCTGCCGGTGGCAGGCGGTTGTCCGGCCCGGCTCAGGCCCGCTGCGGGGGAGCCGCCCGCAGCCCAGGCCCGGTGGCCGCCGGGGAGCCGCGCTCAGAAGAGGATGCCGTCCCGCGGAGCCAGCTCCATCGGCTTCCGCTGCTCCTGCCGGCGCCGGCGCCGGTCCTGCTGGAAGAAGCCGACGATGCTGGTGGCGAGCACGCTGAGCAGCAGGACCAGCAGCAGCAGCCAGAAGGAGCTGCCGTAGCGGTGCGCCGCCCGGTGCTGCGCCGCCAGGGGGTAGCGCGCGTAGAGTGCCTGGACCAGCGCTTCCGACAGCCCGTTGGCCTGCACGTTCCCCACGAACAGCACCAGGGCCAGGAGGGCCAGGGACCCTGTGGGGAGGGGACGGTGGGTGAGGCGGTGGGTGAGGCAGGCCCACCGAAGACAGACAGACGGCTCCCTTCGGGCATGTGCTCTGCAGTCATTTGCTAACTGCATCAGTGGCCACGCCCAGTGAGAATGGAGGTGAACGCAAAGACCTACTGAGGCAGCTGCAGTCTGGGCGGAAGCTCCCAGTGTGTGGGGGACAGGGAGGGGCCGAGGGGTGAGCCGTGTTTCTGACGTGGGTGCCAGGGCTTGGCATGGACACAGGAGGGGGTGCCCTCGGGAGGAGAGCCCGCCACTGCCTGTGCCTCAGCGTCCTGGGACAGAAGGCTCTGGGCGCCGGCTCCTGTCCTCCTGCCCTGTCCCGTCCCGCCCTGCGACCTGCCACAGTGCTCACTGCTGCTCTTGGGGTCCCCGGTGGAGGAACAAATGTGTTGGAGCAGCCGGTTCTCTCCGGCTCCCACATTCTCTCAGCCTGTATGATGGTGCCTGCATGGTGCAAAGGGCAGGCTGGGGTCAGAGGGTGGAGGATGATTCTGCTTGTCCTGGAAGCAGAGCCCTCTCAGTTGTCTCAAAAACAGGGGAGCCGAAACCAGTTTGGCTCAGTGGACAGAGCGTAGGCCTGCGGACTGAAGGGTCCCGGGTTTGATTCCAGTCCGGGGCATGTACCTTGGTTGTGGGCACATCCCCAGTGGGGGGGGGGGTGCAGGAGGCAGCTGATCCATGTTTCTCTCTCATCCATGTTTCTAACTCTATCCCTCTCCCTTCTTCTCTGTAAAAACCAATAAAATATATTTTAAAATAACAACAAACAACAACAAAAAACGGGGAAGATCCGAGGGAGCTCAGAGGAGGTGGTGGAGCCAGAGGTGGTCCTGGCCTCAGCTGCTCCGAACAGCCTCCTCCAGACACTTCAATGTCTCCCGTTGTTTTGCGCCCACCCAGTGCCCGAGGGAGAGGAATGCGGCCGGAATGCCTCATTCCGGTGAAACACGTCTTTGTTGGGGGAAGTAGGCGGGGAAGGGGGTCCTTCCTCCTTGTTTTCCCTCAAACGCACATCCAGCCTCGGGCCCTCCCGCTGGCAGCCAGCACAGCCTCAGCTGAGGAGGGGACAGCCTGCCCCTGGCACGAGGGCTCCCTCTGGCTGAGATGCCTCCTGGGCTCTGAGCCCGGAGGCTGTGGGCCGCCCTCGGCCCTGTCCCTGCCTCCACCCCTGACTGGCCCCTCGGAGTCCCCAGCCCCGCTGACCCAGCCCCGCTGACCCAGCCCCGCTCTCCCAGCCCTGCTCCAGGTGCACGGGGCTCACAGCCAGGGGAGGACAGCTCCGCGCACTCAGCCCTGCAGACGAGGAGGGGGCTCGGGGAGAGGGTGCCCCCTGGGGGAGTCAGATTTGTGGAAGGGAGGCTTTCTACGGGGTTGTTTCCATGGTGATGGGCCAAGGACGGCTGGCCGCCATGGCGCCTTCGGAAGGACCAGTGGGGCTGCTGAGTGGGAGAGGGGAGGCGGGGCTGGCACATCGGGAGGCAGCCCACGGGAGGGAAGCAGAGGGCAGCCGGCCGGCCGGCGCTATGCCCTGGTCCAGCTGAGCCCTGTGCCCCTGCTGCCCCAGACTCGGCAATGGCATGAGCCAGAGATAGGACCATCTGTCTCACCGGCCGATGAGAGTTGCCTTTGGCTTGGTGAACCGAGGTCAAAGGTAACCACAGAAATAGCCTGGGAACCCTGGCCTGGGGCGAGGCTATGTGAGCCGCACTGTGAGCCTGGGCAGCGGGAACTCCCTGTGCTGGCCCCGTGCCTGGCCCAGTGGGTGCCCACTGACCTCAGGATGGTTCCCCACCAGGCAGAAAAAGCTCAGCAAGAAATGGAGAGCCAGGGCACCGACCCCAGCTTCCTACACCTGCCCCTGGCCCCGCCCCCAGCTCCCTACACCTGCCCCTGGCCCCGCCCCCAGCTCCCTACACCTGCCCCTGGCCCCGCCCCCAGCTCCCTACACCTGCCCCTGGCACCACTCCCAGCTCCCTACACCTGCCCCTGGCCCCGCCCCCAGCTCCCTACACCTGCCCCTGGCTCCGCCCCCAGCTCCCTACACCTGCCCCTGGCCCCGCCCCCAGCTCCCTACACCTGCCCCTGGCCCCGCCCCCAGCTCCCTACACCTGCCCCTGGCTCCGCCCCCAGCTTCCTACACCTGCCCCTGGCCCCGCCCCCAGCTCCCTACACCTGCCCCTGGCACCACTCCCAGCTCCCTACACCTGCCCCTGGCCCCGCCCCCAGCTCCCTACACCTGCCCCTGGCTCCGCCCCCAGCTCCCTACACCTGCCCCTGGCCCCGCCCCCAGCTCCCTACACCTGCCCCTGGCTCCGCCCCCAGCTCCCTACACCTGCCCCTGGCCCCGCCCCCAGCTCCCTACACCTGCCCCTGGCCCCGCCCCCAGCTCCCTACACCTGCCCCTGGCCCCGCCCCCAGCTCCCTACACCTGCCCCTGGCTCCGCCCCCAGCTTCCTACACCTGCCCCTGGCCCCGCCCCCAGCTCCCTACACCTGCCCCTGGCTCCGCCCCCAGCTCCCTACACCTGCCCCTAGCTCCGCCCCCAGCTTCCTACACCTGCCCCTGGCACCACTCCCAGCTCCCTACACCTGCCCCTGGCACCACTCCCAGCTCCCTGGCACCTGCCCCTGGCCCCGCCCCCAGCTCCCCTACACCTGCCCCCTGAGCACAGGGCCCCTACCCCCTGAGCCCCCGGCACATGCCCCCGGAGCAGATGCTCCACCTGGCTTGCATGTTAGCAGGCTGGCTCCCCGGGAGGGAGCAGGAGAGCGCCAGCTGCCTGCTGGGCTGAGAGGCACCCCTGGGCCACGCCTCTGGGCAGAGGTGGTGGCCACAGAGCCCCGGAAGCCACGGTGAGAGGCAAACCTGCTGTGACTCAAGCTGGTTCCCTCCCCATGCAGGCAGCGGTCCCACACCCTGCCCAATAAAATGCCCAGTAACCCCAGGCTCCTCCACCGCCCACGGGAGGGCGTGGGCACCAGGCTCTCCTGAGCCACGCTCTCCGTGGCACAGTCATGTGACGGGCCACGGAGTTCAGCCATGCTGACTGATGGGATATGGAGTCGAGAAGTCCCTAAGTATGCACACGTGCACGTATGCTTGCGTGTTCCAAGGGGGGAGCAGTGTGCATGCATGTGTGTGCGTGTGCTCTTCTGTACATCACAGGGAGCCTACTTCGGAGGGAACCCATAGCAGGAGCCGGGGGTGTTCAATGACGTGTGTGGCTTGTTGAACCCCCACATGAGGTGCTCATACGCTTTCACACCTACACGCCCTCCACCCCTCTCCTTGCCTCCCACCACTGCGTTTAATGCAAAACTCTTGTTTCCGGGGAGGCTAGATAAATGCCGTAAATATGCAAAACTAAACCCCAGCCCCACCTCTCCCTCTCCCCTCCGCCCCAGCAGGCCCCGGCACTTGCAGGCGGACTGAGAGGAGCAGAGGCTGGCGAGGGGGTGCCCGGAGCCGGCGGCACTCACCGCTGAGCCCGCTCCAGGTGTACACGCCCAGCGGCCCCAGGAACGTCTGGTAGGGGTTGCTGACGCTGTTGTAGAAGGTGAAGCCGGCGCTCAGCAGCGCCGCGCACAGGCTGAGGACCAGGCACAGGATCACCACCATGTGCAGCGTCTTCGGGCCCGACTGGCCCAGTGTCGCTGAAACTAAAGTAAAGTGGGTGAGAACGAGGCAGGAACGCAGCTTCTCCCACCGCCGCACTCCTGCATGCGCTCTGCGGGCAGGCGCTGGGGCAGAGCCGGGTGGGCGCATCTCTGGGACCTGGGGATCACCCACGGTTCCCCTCCGGGCCGGTCCTTGACCCTCAGGTGCAGGGTGGAGCCACGTGCTTCCGGCTAGGGATCCACCCCAACTTCAAAGCCCCAGGAGAGCAGGTGCCCCTTGGAGAGCTGCTGCAGGGGCCAGCCTTCCCTGGCAGCTCCGGCCTCCGACCCTGGCCACTCGGCGTCCTCCCAACTTCATCGGAGCTCCGACAGCTTTCGTGTGGAGGCGCGTACAGGGCGGGCCACCCCGAAACCCCAAAACCCTGAACCATGGCCATTCAGCTCTCTGCACAGCCTCCATGATCGGTGTCATTGGTTCAACTGCAAACTAGCCCTGCCTGTTGCCACCTGGTGCCCGGGTGGGGGTGGGTGGGGTGCCAGGGACTACCTGCCCTCGGAGGGGGCCACCTGCCTTCTGGGGTGGCCACTTGTCCTCTTGGAGGGGGTGCCTGCCCGCTGGTGGAGGGGGGCACCTGGCTGGGCATGGCCGGGCCCTCAGGCTGAGCCTCCTGCGTCTCTGGCTCACCCAGGACCTGCAGTGGTGGGCACACCTGTTTGGAAACTCAGTGGGAGGGACACCAGACCGTGAGGAACCGGAAGCAGCAAGACACCTCTGTTTGGAGGGACAGCTCCCCTCCACACCAGCTCCCCTCTGCAGCCAGGAGGAGGCCATCGGACCCTGAACCAGAGAACAGGGGCTTCGAGATGGAGGTGCCCTGAGCCCAGCGCCTGGAGCGCCGCTCCGCCCTCTGCCCTCTGCCCTCTGCCCTCTTAAAGCTGCAGGCGGGCGACCACTGTTTTCGAGGAAATGAGGGACGTGACCAGCAGGCGAGCTTTGCCTGTGGCTGCTGGTGAAACCCAGGGACGGGACCCTTCCAAAGCCTGAGGACTCACTCCCGTGTTAACGTGACAACCCGCCGTCCTTTCCCGGCCACACGTCACCATCATACGCCAGCCTCTGGACGCCCTGCCCACAGCTGTGACCGCCCTGCTCCCTCCCGGCCTGGCTCAGGACGCAGACCCCGCGAGCCGGGGACCGAGAGAAGGTTCTCGGGGAAATAATGCCCCAGAGCATCCGACAGCTGCTCTCCGCCTGCAGAATCCGCAAATGCACCCGCTCCCTCTCTTCCTTTTGGGGGCCAGGCTTTGAAATCCGGAGAAGCACCTCCTGATTGGAACTAATTGCCCGGATATCGGCAACTGGAGAGAGGCCAGCGCTCTGCAGCTGGGGGGCGGGCCGTGCGGGGAAACGTGCCACCTGGACCTCCGGGCTCCGGCGCGCAGGGACTTAACCCTCAGCATCCACGGCCTGGTGGGCGCTGGGCACTGCCTCTACCCCTCCTCCTGCGCCTGGCCCCTGGGAGCAGAGCCCAGCGGCGTCTCAACCCGTGGGCCACCGTGCACCCTGGGGAGCGGGGGGGGGGGTATGAGGGGGGACAGGGCACGTCCACAGGCCCCGGAGCGTGGGCTGCTCCAGCTGGCGTCCCCAGCCTCTTGGGACCGTGTCAGGTCCTCTTGGCGAAAAGGGTGGGGTGCTGTCTTCCCTGCCCCCCACGCTCCGCTTCCCCGCGTGGTCAGGCGGCAGGCGGATGGGACGGGGCTGCCGTAAACCGTGAAGAAGACCTCGCGTGTCCTCCCTGCCGTCAGGTGATTTTGCAGCAGATCCTCCCCCGGCGTGGGCTGAGAGCACAGGCCTGAGCTCCCCAGGGGCACACAGGGGTGGGGGGGGAGAGGCGGTGGGCAGGGGAGCCGGGCTGCCTGCGGCTCCTGGCAGGCTGGGTTTCACTCCTGCGAGTCTTTTTCCAGAAAGAACAGACAGTGCGCCCCGCGAGCCAGGCGTGTGTGCAGTCCACGGAGCCACGCTCCTCACTCCCGTGGCGGCTGCTCAGGGCTGCGTTGAGCTGAAGCTGCGTGGCCAGAGCCCCCAGGTGCTCGCGTGGACACGGAGGCCTGTCCCTGCCCCTCTGGTGATGCCTCCAGTGACATCACCGGAGCTGCTCCGGCCTCGCCCAGGACCTTCCCCACCGGGTGATGTGTTGCTGACCGGGTTCCTCCGCTGCTTTGAAATCGGCCACGGTGTCTCCCTTGGGCTCTTTCGTGTCAAAATCCAGAGCCCACAGGGCCCAGCGGGACGCATCCCAGGGAAGCGGAACTGAGCCCTGGGGTGTCCACAGGTCCTAGGAGGTGCTCAGTGTGACCGCATCCAGCCGCGCTGACAGCACTCGTCTCCATGGAAAGGCAATCCCAATCCGCCCCGCAGGCGGCTTTTCCTGGCGGCCACCACGGACACAGCCCCGTGTGGTCACAGCCACCAGCAGGAGAGCGGCACGTGTCCCGGTGACGTGGGGTTCTGCCACCCAGGGCACACCCCCGGGTGCAGCGGCAGCGGACACCGCGCCGTGCAGGCTCCTTACAGCCCCGCTCCCACCCCTTCCTGAGAGCTGGGCCCCTGGCTCCTGGGCTGAAATCACCAGCAGAGACTACACCTTTGCGGGTGGGGCGTGGCTTCTCGCCTCATCTCCCGGGGGCGTGGCTTCTCTCCTCCATCACCCGGGGGCGTGGCTTCTCTCCTCCAGCTCCTGGGGGCGTGGCTTCTCTCCTCCAGCTCCTGGGGGCGTGGCTTCTCTTCTCATCACCTGGGGGCGTGGCTTCTCTCCTCCATCACCTGGGGGCGTGGCCTCTCTCCTTCAGCACCTGGGGGCGTGGCTTCTCTCCTCAGCACTTGGGGGCGTGGCTTCTCTCCTCATCACCTGGGGGCGTGGCTTCTCTCCTCCATCACCTGGGGGCGTGGCTTCTCTCCTCATCACCTGGGGGCGTGGCTTCTCTCCTCCAGCACCTGGGGGCGTGGCTTCTCTCCTCCAGCACCTGGGGGCGTGGCTGACTTTCTCCAACATGGGGGGGGGTCCCCCACAGTGACGTCAGGAGGCTGGAATGTGGCTCTCCAGAATAAAGCCGAATAAAGTATCAAAGGAGAGAGCCAGGCCAGGGAGTGCCATCGTCCCCGCTCCTTAGAGCTCCCACGTTGCAGGGGGTGCCCACGTGGTCCCGCCGCCTGCGGGCTGGCCTTGACCCCGCTGTCCGCCGCTGGACACGCAGGGCCTCCGTCGCCCACAGGCTGCAGCCCTGGCCTCCTCCGAGCCTCCCGGTGTGCGGGGCCGGCGCTCAGGGAGCCATTGGCTGCAGATGGAGCCACCGCTCCACACAGACGCTGGGGAATGCTCAACCCCACGGGGTGCTAGTTCCTATTTTAGACTTTCTCAGCGAGCCTGAGACTCAGACCTAGCACCCTCTCCGCTTTGAAAATGCTGTTCACGTCCGGAAGTGTGACCGCATCTTGGAAAGTCTGGGCTCCAGCAGCTGCGCGGCGGACCCTGCGCCCTGAGCTGCGAGGCCTGGGGAGGAGGGGGTGAGCCCGCGGAAACCGGGGCGGCGGGGCTGCGGACACCCCGAGACACACTGATGACCTGGAGCCTTCACCACGGTGCCCTGATTTAGGACAATCATTTCCTCGATAAACTCACAACCTGGGAGCTAGCGAGTCCCAGGCCCCGGCTCCTGCCCTGGTGCATAGAAGAGACTAAATGTCAGAGAAGGACGCCCAGCCCGGAATGGGAGGGAGGGAGGAGGCCACAACCCCTCCACCCCCCTTACACACACACACACACACACACACACACACACACACACGCCCCACACCTGCAGGGGATCCGCCTGCAGCGCTGTGCAAAGCGAAACCCACGCCAGGTGCGAAGCAAGTGGCACGTGTTGTCCTCACACTCAGACGACATAAAGGTGGGCGTTCGCACGCCCCCAGCCCAAGCAGGAGCGCTCTTGTCATTCTCAATGAACATTCACTGCCCGCCCAGTGAGAGGGAGGAGGGCATGCGTCCCTGAGAGCTCAGGGAACAAATGGGCGTTCTCACCAAACAGGATTAATGGGACTCATGGGGGTTTAACGTCATGGCCAACAGCGGTGGGTGTTCCGGAGGTAGAAACGCCAGCTCGAATTGGTTGGAGGAATGAACTTGGGGCAAGGGACAAGGAATGCACCCCGTTTTGCTTTCCTCCCCATCTTTTACGTGGCCAGCCACTCGGGAAGCTCTGGGCAGAGGCGGTGGCTCCCGCTGACACCCCACAGCCAACGCGGTTACAAGTTGTGCCCCGCCCGGCTGACCGGTACCGGGAATGGGTACCGTCTTGCCATGACACCGTTTTCCTTAGCATCTACTTGTCAATAAACTCCGGAGCTCGCTTCCCCGTCGCCTCCGCTGTGAGAGGAAACAATGACACAGCGGCTGTGGGGTGAACTGATATGAAAAATATCAAACGCTGAGGGGGAGAGGCGAGGCCGCGGTGACAATGGAGGCTTTATCCCGAGGACAACAGTGAATCGTTGGGGGTTAAGAAAGGGAGTGACAAGATGAGCGTGCTAGGAAGCACGCCCGTGAGGACTGGATTGGAGCCAGCAAGACTGCGGACGGGGAGATACGTTGGAGGAAACGCAGGAAGAGCTGGGGGAGGCCAGCAGCCCTGAGGATGGCAGGAAGAGGAAAGAGTGAAGACATGTGAGGGGGTGGCATTGCCAGCATTTGGTGTCTCATAGGCTGTCCGTCTTCCCTTCCCAACCCAGGGTCAGCTTCTGAAGGGCTAAATCTCTACAGTAGATGTCTTTGTGTTGGTTCCATTATATTACCTGTGGACCAGGTGTTCAATAAATATTTGTCGAATGAATAGAAAAAAAACAAAACATTAACCATGAACAGATATTAAGGTATGACCCAGGTCATTCAGCCTCACTCTCCCCATTCCAATTCGGTTCTCATTTACCTTCAAAATATTTGTCCGGCTCCGCAAACCCGTGGTCCAGCTGCTGCGTGCTCTGCCCGCTGAAGAGCCCGTAGGCTATGACGATGCTGCCGTTGGAGAAGGTGTCGCTGACGGCAATGGTGCTGCTGACCCAGTGAGGAGTCCCCAGGATGACGCAGATCACCACGAACGCCCCGAAGCTCGTGAAGAAGCTCGACAAGAACGTCAATGTCTTCGCGGTGGAAGGCATCGTCCCAGGTAAGCACGGGTCCTAGGGGAAAAGGCAGGCGTATCTTGGTGGGACGTCTGTGGGCCTTATCATTTGGAGTCCGGAACTTAGGAATGGAGTCGAGTCATACTTAGTTGTAAAATATAAGCGCTCACTTTTCATAAGGAATGAAAAGTACACCAATGAGCACTGGACTATGAACATGGTCATAAAGATTTGCAGGAGCTGAACTTTGGTCTGGAGTGGGAGGTTGCTATGGTGACAGCCAACCAGCAGGAACAAGGAGAGCATGATCTCCTGAGAGCTCCCAGTCACACCATTAATCTGTAACTCCCGGGCCAGTGCCATGGGAGGAAAGTCAGCTTCCACAACAGGGCAGAATTCCTGAAGCATGAGTGGGGGGTCCGTGCCCCCAAAGCTTGCTGATGCTAGCAACCAGCCACATTGGGTCTGAACTCACTCCCCACTTGCTTGGCTGGTTACTAACTTGGCCCTAACCATCGTTCCAAAGGGAACCCTCGGGAGCACGCCTCTGCCAAACGGCACCATGGAGTGGTCTTTTGTAAATCGTCTTTCAACATCTTGAAATGACTTTTTTTTTTTAAATTTCTTCCTTGCCTGGGAGTAAGTTTTGAAAATATTATGTGACAGCATTGTTTCTATTTTTATTAGTTATTTCTACTTTGCGAGGATTTTGATTAAAGATTGTGGTCTTGCAATGTTTACTCCTTGAATCTTATTGGGTTTTTTTGGGGGGGGAGGCAGTCAATTGATAAGCCACTTTTATAAATGTTTACAACATTTTATATCACTCAATACCATTCAGTTTTGTGGGCTCACTATCATTCATTTAACAATGTTCTTAAAGTTATTTCCGCTGTTATTGAAGTCTGTTGCTCACATAGCCTTGCTTAGATAGAGATTGTTAATCCTAGCCTTGGGATAAATTCCTATAGAAGAATGGCTGATTCAGGTAGACAGTTTTGGATTGGACATTTTTTAAATTTTATCTTTATTGTTGAAAGTATTACAGATGTCCTCCTTTCCCCCATTGGTCCCCTCCACCCTGCTCCCACCCACCCCCAGGCCTTTTCTGCACTATCATCTAAATCCATAGGTAATACACACTGAGTGGTCACGTGATGATGATCTCTGGACACAAAATAATCTGGTCACTCAGCGTATATCCTATACAATAAAAGGCTAATATGCAAATTGCCTCATGGGGGCTGTCCTGTCCAACTGCTGCTCTGCTCTCCGACATTGCGAGTGACTCCCTGACATCTCTTACCTTACCTGGGCCCTGTGTGCCTGATCTCCCCAAACCTCAGTGTTTAGCTAGGTGCCTTGTCATCATCCCTCCAGGAGGGACGGATGTACAGAGCTCTGACAAGGTGCCCGCGTCTCAAATACCCAAGTCCAGCTCCCACAAGTTGGGGCTGACAGGAGCCCCGTTTCCTGGTGCAGGCCCTGGATCAGGGTCGCCTCGTCTTGCTCTCTCTCCATCTGTCGTGTTTCTCGTGGGCCTGTTCCTGCGCTCACAGATGTGCCTGGAACTAAGACGGTAACACAGCCATAGATCTTGAGTTGGGGGAGGATTGCTAGTGACTGAAATTTATTTTTTATTTCTTTTTAGTTTGGGGAGGCAGGTCTGTGATGACGCTTTAAGCCCAAACCCCCTCCACCCAGAAATGGGACTATTCCAGGGCCTCGCACCTTGGTTAGGAGTCAGCGGAGGCCAGGGACCCCGCCGGGCACGGACGGCAGGAAGGACGGGCTAGGGCACACCATGGCTGGGTGTGGGCGGCCTCGGGAAGGGACGTCAGAGCCTGGGGTGAGGAGGCTCCTCAGAGAGAGCACAGCTGGGAGCACAGACCTTCACAGGCAGGGGACCACACGGCCCACTCCCAGGGCGCAGGGGACGCAGAGCTGGGAGGTGGCTCTGCTCAGGACGTCCGGAGAACAGTCATTGGGTGCCGTTGTTGCAAATGTTACATCTGTGGTTACCGCCTCTCACTCCTTCGTAACGCTTTCTGAAGTAATTGGCTGTGACACTCTCTACGTTGTAGTAAGGAAGCTCGGAGGATGCACCTAGTGTTTGTATAATAGGACCATCAGATGAAACTTGTGCAGGAGAGAAAAGTGGCAGGAGACGCTACCCACCGTCCACGTCCTCTCCTGCCTGCTCCGCGCACCTGCTGCTCGCGGCTCCTGCTTCGGAAGGTGCTGATACGAAGAGAGGAAGGTCCCCTGTGTCGCCAAAATGCATGGGACAAGCTGTCTCCCTTTTTCTTTTTACCACAGTTGGCAGCTGCTGATCTCTCCTTTTGTTTATCTTGCGAGCTATGAGACATCAGCGGGTTGTTTTTAAAAACCACAAATATTTATCTCATAACTCAGAGAGCTCCAGAGATACACTGGAGTTTATTTTACTCCTTTTGATTAGCTCACGTATGTGTACGCTCCTGCTATAACATGCGTGTGGTTTACCTATATATTGGGATCGCTTTCATGGAAAACTACCTCAAGAAGGACATTTTCCAGAAAAGAGGCAATTCCAAAAACACACATCCTTTCCGAACGTCCCATTGCTCTAGGAAAGCAAACGTTTAAAAGCTACGTCTTATCTTGTTTTAATCACGGATAAAAAAAATAGCTGCCTATATCCTGTTTACCAAGTTCCCTCAGGATATCGCCGTGCAACCACATCCTGTTACCCCTTTCCCCCCAGTTCCCAGAGCACAGCAGAACTGGGCAAGAGGCAAAGCGGGGCGCAGGGCACGTCACTCCACGTGTGACGGTGTCCGGGGTTTCCGGCCTCGGCTCCTGGTGAGAATGTATGAAAGCCACGCAGTCGGTTCATTCTGCCCACACTCTCTCCGAGGTCTTGCAGCTTCTGGAGGAAGGCGAGGGGGGATACATTTCTGCCCGAGCATCCGCCTTTCTGAGCGTGGTTTTCAACGCTGAAGGCCCAGGAGACAGATGACAGTTGCAGGCGTCCAGCGGAATGACCTGGTATGTGACCATCCTGGGAGGCGATCACAGCAAGAAGCCCAGTTGCCATGCCTCCCCACCCAGTTACAATTCCTCCTCTGTGGTGAGAATCTCCACCAGGTGAACTTAGCAAAGGGGATAATCAGTACATGGAAAGGGATAGCAATAACAAGGATCAAAACTGAAGCAGGAACAAAAAAAAAAAAGAGGTTTAAATGTTTAAAAAGCTCCAGTTGCCACACTGGCCGGTGGGCTCAGTGGTTAGAGCGCCGGCCTGCAGACTGAAGGGTCGTAGGTCTGATTCCCAGTCAAGGGCACATAGATGGGTCGCAGGTTCAATCCTTGGCCCAGGCCAGGATGTGTGTGGGAGGCAATCAGTTGATGCGTCTCTTACATCGATGTCTCTCTCTCTCTCTCCCTCCCTTTTCACTCTTTCTAAAAATCAATGGGAAAAATACCTTGGGGGAGGATTAAAGAATAATAATAAAAAATAAAATCTTCCGTGGCGTGCCGGTCAATGGCCGGTGATATTGTTTACATAGCATTGGAGGCCCAGTCAGTGGAGAAGGTGGAAAATATTTGTGAAGAAATAGTGTCTGAACAATTTTTCCACATTAGACAAAAAGTCTAAGCTCATAAAACAAAAAGCACAACTCATCCCAAGTAGGAAGACACAAAGACAACCACACAAATCCCCGTTTTCACCCCGTGCCCATAAAAAAGCCACCTGTGGAGAAACCCCTTAAAAACAGCCAGAGGAAAGGACTCGTCGCCCGAGCTCTCCATGTAGGTAGCAAAACATGGGTCTCAAGAAGATGCTGTCATGGGAAAGAAAGTAAACACTGAAGGTCCCATCCATGCGGAGAGAGGGATCAGGCAGAGAGACCCCGAGCGGCTGCCTCTGGCCGGGGGCGGGGCTTCCCGGGACAGGACATGATCCACAAGGAAAGTGTCCCCAGAGGGAAGCTCAGAGTTAGGCTTGAGGATGAGGATCACGCAGCTCTGCTTTCCTGGGGCATGCCGGAAGCTATGTGGCTTCATGGATCCCTCAGGGTTTCTCCCTGGGCGTGGCTTGGGAGTGGGGGGAGGGGAAGGACAATCCAGTGAGGTAAAAGCAGAACATTCTAGGTCCAGTAGACTCATTCATTCTGGTTCATCCTGAGGCCAGAATAGCCATCCCAAGGTTCCTCTTCGTGGGGGCCGGTCCTGAAGTGGGTTTTCCCGGCTGGCCACCCACAGCCCAGCATCCATCATAAGCCCTCTGACTTTGTCTCTTAGGGCCGTGGTCGGCAAACTCATTAGCCAACAGAGCCAAACATCAACAGCCCAACGGTTGACATTTCTCTGGAGAGCCACGTTTTTTAAACTTAAACTTCTTCCAACGCCGCTTCTCCAACACGGACTCGCCCAGGCCGTGGTGTGGCGTGGGAGAGCCACACTCAGGGGACCAAACAGCTGACCACGGTCCTAGAGGCATGTCATGGTCCTAGAGAAATGTGATGTCCGTGTGCCTGTACGTGGTTTAAAAGCAACTCCGATGGCCTTTCTTACAAACCGATATTGCCGTTTCGCTTAGCCTCCTGGACTGCGTGCCTGGTCTGAGCGCTGTCATTTTCGGTGACTTTGTCAATCGAGCCCCTCAGGGTGAGGAACGTTCCCGGGGTTCCCTGGAGGAAACCCAAATGGCCAGGCCTCAGGCGCCGAGAAAAACAAGACACATTCACAGTCCAGTGACTGTGCCTGGTCACAGGAAAGTGCCCAGCTGCGCTCTCAGGGCAGGGGCCAGGGCAGGGGCCGGGGCAGGGGCAGGGGCTGGTTTAGGGGCAGGGCAGGGGCAGGGGCTGGGGTCGGGGCCGGGGCCGGGGCTGGGGCAGGGGCAGGGGCAGGGGCAGGGGCAGGGGCCGGGGCAGGGGCCGGGGCCAGGGCCCGGGCAGGGGCAGGGGCCGGGGCAGGGGCTGGTTTAGGGGCAGGGCAGGGGTGTGGTGGAGAGTGAGTGGGAGGGGGCGTGGCAGAGCGAGGCGGATGGG